GCATTTTTAAAGGAATTTATTCTATTAAACGAGAATTGGGATGCTCAATTGATGAGGCAAGAAAATAAAAACACTAGAGGAAAACGTGCTCTAGACTTTGTAGGATCTGCTTTATCATGGTGTTGTGGAGTAGCCACAATGGAAAAACTAAGATTAGTAGAGGAATCTGAGGACAACGTTAAGGACAAATTAATGAGAATGACCCAAGGACTGTCAGGAGTGCTAAAAGAAATAAGCCAAAACTCCAAGGCATTTAAAGACTACGACGAATCGATTGCGAGCACATTTAGAGAAACTGAGCTTAGAATGAAGGTTATAGAGCGACACTCTGAAGAGTTAGAGGACAGATTAGCCAACGCCACAAACGAAGAAGGGCGCATGACATCTACGATATTATACTATCAGTACATGAACTTAAGGAAGATGGTTATGATCACTCGGAGTCTCAGAAGGCAAGCCATCATGCAATCATGCAAACAACATAGAATACCAGCAGACATAATTCATCCACAAATACTAAGGGAAGACTTAACAAAATTAGAACTAGAACTAGAAACCTCAGGACAGGGACTGGCCATCCACGTACCTGAGATCTCTAAATATTACCAAATCCAGATTTGCGACTGTTCATACACAGAAAATAAATTATTTATCCACGTCAAAGTACCAATAATAAAAATGAAACAAAGCTGGAAACTATATGAATTAATTACGACACCGTTCGCATGGTTCAATCAGACTTGCACGATAACACACCAGCCACTCTACATGGCGGTTTCATCGACAGTGGAGAATAGAGACGAAATGAGGCAAATTTCAGGAGCAGGTCTTCATCAATGTAAACCGTATCACAGCCAACTATGCTATATACCTCGATTCTCAGCAGACAACATCCAAGGTCCAGAGTGTGCTAGAAAGTTGTATGAGGGCACAACTGTCCAGCAACTAGCCCAATACTGTCCAATGAGTTGTCACTCAGCAACATCAATGATAATTTCGGAAATATCTGAAGAAGTTTATATGTTGACACACCCTAAAAAGGGGTTGGAGGTCACGTGCAGAGAGAATAAATCCTATAAACTCAACCCAGAGCATCCTCATCAAGGGTCGATTAAGGTGAAATTACCTTGTAACTGTCAATTACAGTCAGGAACGGACATAGTCATTCCAAAACGATTTCCATGCCCCGACTTTTTGGTGTCGTATGACGCTCAAATAACTCACATTATCCCAGCAACATGGTCTACATTAAAATCATTTGTTTTGAATCCAAAATCAAACTACCTTTCACCTACTTATAAAAACATGTCGGAATGCCTCAACAATAATTGGACTCTCCATATACCTCACGTTAACCTAACTTCAAGTGAAACAACAGAGAAAAATATAATTAGTCTAATTCGACAAACAATTCCAATGAACTCTAATAGTTACACTTACGGATTCCATTCGGACACATTATTCCTATGCTGGAATATTGTCCTCTCATTTCTAGTTGTTTACCTATTATTTAAAAACACAAGTGTGACACTCACTACGCCACTTTTCACAAGGACTAATGGTCAAGAAATTACCGCAAACACGACACATGACGCAGTAATGGGCCTCATTTATACTTGCTTCACGATATTCATTCTATTCCTGATACTACGTCTTGTTTATTTTTACTACAAAAGGACCTCCAAGAAACCCAGAAATGACAGACAAACAATTGAAAAGAAAAATGAAGAGACTTACGCACAAGACAGAGAACTTAACGAAATGACCTCGAAGGGTAATTTTCAAATAACTCTAAAATCAGAAAGGAATAATACTTTAAGATATAGCCTTGAAATTATAGACGATAAAGACATCCGATCACTGTCCCCTGGTGATAAAGTAAAAGCTGAAATAGAGCTTGTTAAAATAGACGATTGAATGCCCCGTATAAAGGGAGTATTCCTGAGATACTTAAGTATGCCCTACTTATCTCAGATTTTTAAGAAATAATTTATTAATTTTGAAATATTGAAGAATTTGTCAAATAAATTATAGGTACCTAAATATAATTACGCGTACTAGTGCAAAAAGATTTGCTTTTTTATTTAAGTCTAAGCCATCAGCGCACAAATTGGTATTAGAATAAATATCAGAGTAAATAGTACGATAAATGCACTAGATTTTTATGCAGGCGCCTGACGTGAATAAATAAATATATAATAATTATATAAAGTATACAAACTGATGTTTAATAAATATGTATAATAAAGTTTATAAAAAAGGTCGTAGGTAGGAGACAGAAGGGCATACAACTGGATCGGATTGTTCTGAGAAATCCTACGACAAAATTATAAGAAAATATAATTTTTTTTTTTTTCTCTATTTTGAACTATGAAGTAACGCATTAATTTTTTTTCCTTTCTGTACGAAAATAAACTTGAATACCTACGCATTAAATAAAGCGTACACCTTGCCTTATTACGGCAAATATTTAGTCAAAGTTTCTTTACCTTATACTTATACATTTAAAAATGGTTACATTTTTTTTATTAATATTTTTTAGTTGGTTTAAGGTTTTCATTTATTTATAGGATATAAGCTCAATTAATAGCACATACTCACACTTTGTTCTTTTTTTTCATGTAAAATACCTGCCAACGCAACGCTTTTCCTGCCATAAGGATTCCACATTCCAACATCAAGACTCCAAGATCGTTCGACAGGAGACCACTACATTGACCACCGGCATTGATGCACACACGTTCAGGACAAAAACCTGTAATTTATTCCAATACCTGACGCACCTGGCGCATTGAATCCGACAATTCAATTCAATGCCAAATGGTTCATTGAAGATCCAGACTCCAGAGTATCAGCACAGCAAACAAAAATTCGAGACGCAAAGACCTCGATAACATTGACCAGATGCTGTTGTGTTAACCATCATTCCACTTTACCATGGGAAATAAAACCACCACCGCCCAAGATTAGGAAATGTTAAACCTAATCTCAGGACACAAAAGTTTACTATAAGCCAGTAGCATCAGTTATAATGCACCATCAAAAGTAAACAAATAACATGACCCAGAAGCTAACCGGGATGTAGGTCAAGTTCAGGCCACTAAAGCATAAACACCGTCGTCCGCAAAGCAACTTAGCGCTCGGCGGGAACTATCGATCGAACACCTATTGATCGAACGTTGTGTACCAAAGTCAAATACCACATACTCCGCACCCCGAACTCATCATTTGTTACCAGTGCTGGTAAAGCCATATGGTCATATTGGTCACAACCAATGACATCCAACGCATTCAAATTGGTTCATTCAATGGTTTGGAAGCTACGTCAAAGCCAGATACCAGACGCCGCTAGCAGTAGCAGCAAGCCGGTCAGAAAAATCACCAGTCAAACGAAGAAATCAGCAAATGGAAGAAATCAGCAAATGGAAGAAATCAGCAAATGGAAGAATCAGCAAATGGAAAGAACAGGAAAAGGCACACTTCAATTTTATTTATCAAAATTGTTAATTTTTTTTTCTCTCTCAGCGTTTTGGCAAGGTAATCAATATTATTATTTAATTTTCTCTCTCTCTCTTTCAATGTATACTCAATTTTCCATAAGTATTTTTTATGTGTAGGTATGTTTCTGTAAATTATATATTTTTTTTTGTAGGAATTATTAATAGAAAATGTAGGTACTTAGGAGAATTTAATTGGGTTTAGTAACCATTAACTTTTAACTTTTAGGTTTTAGTTTTAACTTTAACTTTTATCAAATTGTACTTGTAACTTGTATCAATTTTGCTTTGTTTTTATAATTAATTCTTTTCTTTTCTTTTAAAATATTTGAATTTTTTTTTTAAACGCTATGATTTAATTTTTTTTTTTTTCTTTCTTCTTTTTTAGATCTTTATCGCTGGAGTCCAGCTTTCTGTAGTCCGAGGGAAATGTCAAGCCAAAAAATATCACCCTTTATAACATTATTATTCCAATACGAATTAACCAAAGTTCATTGACTAATAATGTCCCAATTTAGTTGCGCAATTCGGATGTTATATCAAATAAAGCAAACGCACTCAGAGTCAGCAAAAGCTTAAAGCCAACAACCTAGGTTTTAGGTCAATGATTTTTTGCTGACATTTCTGAATCGATTTGGATCGATAAAGCGTAATTTTCAAGTTAGTTGTAAATCTGAATTCGGGCGTTAAAGTCGAAAAAGTTGTGCTACGGGCTAACGGGCTACAGGAAGATGGGATTCCGGTAAGTACCATTGTTAAACTTTAATAAATCCTCTAGTGTTCTCATCGGCCATCATTCACAACATTCACACTACTGTTCTTAATTTAATTATTGATTTTGAGAATAAATTAATATTTTTCTTGGTGTTACAAAACTTGATTGTTTTAATCTCTCAGATTCCCCCCGGTCCCTAGTTGCAACTAAATAAGATTGCAACAGTCTCAACCGAACAGGGCTGCGACAGTATCTCTGTATTCTTTTGGTATTCTTCTAAAAAGGCTATTGTTTCTCTTTGTAAATTTGGTTAGACGATTTGACTTGATTTTTATAAATAATAATTCCTCATTTGTGTATATGTATGATTGTATAGTTATTGCTTTTTTGACTAGTATGTTGGTATTATATTTGCAGCGGTATTTTACGTTTTCTCTTATATTTTTTGTAAGACATAGTTCTATGGTTTTTGATTCCCGAACATTCGGGGATGGTGCCCGGTCACTCCTAGTTTTAAGCTGCTTGGTTGCTCATCTGTAGTAGTTATGTTGCACATTATATTTTCTGATTCTTGTAAATTTTTCTCGTTTTTCTGTATCAGCACTTTTATGTCGGTGTCTCTGAATATTTCTATGATTATCTGTTTAATAGACCTCCAGGTTCTACCTTTTAGTCCCCATACTTTTTGTTGTATACAAATTGACTCTATGTTCTGTCTAGTGCGTAGCTTTTTGTTTTTTGCCAACAGCTGTATAAGTTTCTTAATTTTGGGTTTTCTCTTGCCTGCCTTATACATGGAAAAGAGCTATTTTGCCTCCCAGTGATTCTATCGTTACTTGTCCTACTCTTCCTGGTGATCTTTTTAGATCCGGGAACATCCCTTTCATTTGTTCGTTTAATCCTCTGGTTTCCATATGCCTGTTCACCCCCAAGACGTGTAGCGAATCTTCATTTTTTCCCGTTACTTCTTGTATTCTATTGTCGATTTCCTGTTGGGTTATTTTAGATTCATTTTGCCTGAATCTTCCGAACTTGTTTCTTGGTCTGCTCTTCTTTCGTTCATCTCGTTTTTGGTTTAATTGATTTATGGCTATACCTGATGGTGTTTCCTTCTTAATTACTTTTGTTTGACTTAGTCTCGACGTCCTTTGTCCCTCTAACTTTATAGTATTTCGGTTCAGATCTAGAGTAGCTTGGTTTGCTTTCAGAAAAGCCATTCCTAGAATAATCGGGTACGGCACGCCATTGATTGCATTCATTTTGCATGTGTAGATTATGCCTGCTATCTGTATTGATGCCATTACTTCTCCTAGAACGAATATTTCATGTCCCCCTGCTATAACTAGTATTACATTGGAGCTTCCTATCTTGTATTTTCTTATCAAGTCCGCATTTATTATGTTATTTTGAGAACCGATTATTGCCATCTGACTGGAGTTTTTATCGGAAGAGCTAGATTTTGGAGCGTAATCAATCGTTGCCGCGATTTTCTTCAATTCGTCCATTGTTGCGGGAGGTTTATTTGGTGTATTCGTGAGCCAGTAATAATTATAGTAATTATCCTCTGTCATGCCTTTGCTGAAGGTATCTAAAAATTCCTCCATATTCATCACTTTATTGTAGTCTGCGTAGAGTACCGTTAATTCATATAGATAGTTGACCACACTTTCTTCTTCCTTTTGTTTTCTATCTTCAAATTTTTTCCTCAGTTTTCCTTGATAGTCGACGTCTTCAAATTCTACTAAGTCTCTGGTGATGTCCTCCCAGCCGTTGTTCCTGTGTGAATCTTTGTACTCTTGGAACCATAAGTTTTATGCTCCATCCAAAAATGTTTCGAAACAGGTATGCTATTTTCAGCGCTTAATCCCATTCATTTGCAATTGCTGTTCTCTCATGACTGTTTGGAAAGTCAATAGTTTTAACTCTGCATGGGTGAAAAGTTGTAGGGCTTATAAATTGAGGGATCGTCGCCTTTCTACCAGTGGTGGTTGCGTCTTGGATTGTAATATTCGCGATGGCTGCTTATATTTTCCGGTTTGGTGTTACTTTGTCTGGTGATTTTTTGTTGGACGAATCTTCGTATTTGTTTTTCGGGGGGGCAACCTACTTTGCTTTTATCACAGTTTCGTCTAGATTCTCTTCAGTGTTGTCTCCGTGTTCTTCACTTAGAAATACAATTTTTGCTTTCTTCTTAGCTGAAATATTTCGTCTGCAATGTAATTGCTTTCCGCGTTCAGACTTAGCTCGTTTTCGCTCATCCGTTCGAATTTATTGTCTTCTACTATTTTCTTGACTTGATGGCGAACTTTTCAGAAGTAGAGAATCAGCGTCTTATTCTGTTGCTTCGAAAACACTGTATAAGTTGAAGTGGGTCGCCAGTTTATTGCTTGTTACGCATATCGGTGTTTTTGTTTTATCGACTGGCTATTTGAAAATTTCGCAAGAAATGGTAAATTTGACTGTGATCAATTATGATGATTTTTATTCAAGATTGTGGCTAAATTATTTTGTTTCATTACTTTTTTTTTTTTTTTTTCTGGTGTTTTGGGAGTGTATGAAAGCGAGGTTACTGTGATTTTTCCTCCTCTTCTATCTTCGTTGGTGGCCCTCTTGGCTTTATGTCTTCTGAGGTGGTTCTGGTATCGACTCTTTGGCTAGGTCATCAAGGTGGTTCAGGTAAGAGGGTGCCTCCACCATGTGTCACGCTTAGTGCGCGTTCACATTGGCACCACTCGAGCGGTGAGCGCTGCGCGATGCCGCTGTAGTAATGCCCAAAAATAATTTTAACATTATATTTCAAATGAACATGTTCACACTGGATCGGTGCGTCGCGCAGTGTTAACATGTTCATTTGAAATATAATGTTAAAATTATTTTTGGGCATCGCTACAGCGGCATCGCGCAACGCTCATCGCTCGAGCGGTGTCAATGTGAACGCGCACTTAGGTTGTTTGTAGTCAGCGGTGCCACCACTTTAACTACACTTGGCTGCGTCCGCTAAGGGTTAATCCTGAAAAGAGCTTATGAGACGGAAGGAAAGATTTCACATCTAGTAGTTAATACATCTATTGTTACACCTTAACTTATGTAGGAGATGATTAAATAGGGATTACCAAAAGTAGATAGCCGTAAATGTTCTTCCCTGGAGAGCCATCATATAACATTGCCTTGGAATGCCCGTTTTTAGGAAAAGCCTTACGTTATCAAGAACTGATCGTTAGTACCCAAACAGCTTTATGAACATGTACCTTCGAGGAGCTTAGTTTCCATGGGTCTAGTTTTGGGGCGTTGAATGGGGCTTCTACAGCATGACATTCACCTTAGGATCTCAGTCGAACTATTGCAATTCACACTCAACTTGGAGAGAAAGTCTTTTGGCATGTACCCTCGCGGAGTTTAAGGCTGTGGAGACTAACCTCTGCCCGACTGCATTGCGGTGCGCGTAATTCATACAAGAATTATTGCTACCGTCATCAGAGTCAGTTAATTTTCTGTAGTACGAGCGCCAAATTCACTTTATATTTATAGTATGTGGGCCTGTAGACATTTATGAGTTGACAATATTTATCAGCAGACATTAGACAATGCGACGTTACCAAACTGACTGTCGTGATTTCTTAAAATTAAAATGACGTTAGGGCATAGATCCTTTCTGACCACCACAAAAACTATTGTAGTACAATTGAAAGTACTAATAATTGAACAACTACATTAATTTTGTTATTGCAGCGCATAAAATACAACAAAAGAACATTTATAATAACGAGGATAAAACCAGGAATTTAAAGGCAATCTTTGAAATCAGCTATGACAACTACAATCTGACAACGTTACAATATTTACTAATTTGCAGTGTATTATGGCTTGTTGTAAGGAATGACGACATTTTTGGCAAAATAGTATTAATATACTTGATGTTCCAGAATTTAGAAAAAAAATCGCTGATTCTCCCCATTGTAGCAGCTGTGGTACGTAGAAGCCATAACTTGAAGATCCTTGACATATCGAATCTATAAATTCCTCTGGGAATTTAATAGAATCAGAGACCTGATATAAAAAGCCAACCCCCCTCATCAGAGTTAATAAAGCCAAACTGCTGAACAACTCTACCTGAGGAGTGATAGATACAACAAAATACACAAAAGCGTTAAAGCCCATCAGCAGGGTTGGGCGTCGTTATACAGGGTGTTTGGTACATCGATAGGAAGGTTTCAATGAGTGATAGTTGGGATCATTTGGAAGCTGTTTGACCATATTTACCTTTATGCAAAGTTTTGTCGTTTTTGAGATATCAGCATTTTTAGCTGTATGCAACATCCTCTCTTAACTTAAAAGCGCTTTTTAAAACTGGTCACTTCTACCTGTCTCAAATTTTTTTTTCCGATATTCCTAATATGCACTCTTTCGTCACTTTCAAAATAAAATGGAAAGACAAGCCGAATGATTGATACAAAAATTATGTAGCCCAAGTTGTGTTAAAATACATGCGGATTCAAAATATCTAAAAATGGCGATATCTCAAAAAACGGCGAAACTTTGCATGAGGCTAAATATGGTCAAACAGCTTCCAAATGGCCCCAACTATTGGAAACTTCCTATCGATGTACCAAACATCCCGTATATGCCAGAAAATAATGAATAACAAAATGAGAGGTATCCATCATAATAAATAAAGTCGCTAATTTCGAAACCATCTTCATCAAAGCTCAGGGAATAAGGCTTGTGGCAGACTACAAATTGAGCTGAGCGCTCTTACTAGCTCGTCAGTGCGGTTTAGTAAGATCGAAGAAAGAAAAAAAGAAAACGCAGATGTGACAAAAGCGTTACAAGGACTTAATCCATGATTTAAAGATAGCACTAGTCAGGAAAAATTGCCGCTCAAATCGCCTGAAGAAAAAACATGAGTTCACCGTCTCTCCCAACAAGTCGGACTATCCTTGGGGACATGTCAGACCATTTTAAAATAAGACCTAGACATTCATGTCTACGGGATGATAGCAGTGCAAGAGTCGGAACCCACAGATCTTTCACTGTGCACTTTTTATTGTAAATGGTTCATGGACAATCTGTACGATAATCCACATCTTGCATCAACATTTTTCACCGACAAATCTGGCTACATGAACTCCCAGAATATGAGGATAATGAGCACCGCTAAAATCCTCATACGATACTTAAGACGCCTTAACATCCTGAAAAAGTAGGTGTCTTGGGAGCAATAATTAGTGCAAGAAGAATAATTTGTCCCACATATTTGTAGACTTTAAGGAAACATCAATGCACGCCGCCATCGGAAAGATATCCTGCAACCATTTTTCTAAGAGCTTGCATGAAGATGAACCTCAGCGAGGATACTTCCAGCAAGATGGAGCAACATCTTATTGCACACAAGAGACTTTGGATGTGCCTCACGAATGACCGGGTTATAAGCAGAAATACAGTCATTCCTTTTCGAGTTCAGCCATCGAGTAGCAAACAAAATCCAAGAGATTAATCACAATCCTCGAATGCTCCAAAATGTGTCCAATGCTGTAAAAAAAAAAGTTTTTGGATTGGGAAGTAGAAGGTGGACATGTTCAGCATCTTTTGTTAAAAAATGTACTTTCCTACGAGCGTGCGGAGAAGTTACTTTTTTACACGATTTTTCGTTTGGAAAGTTGTACTTTTCCGCACGATTTCACTTTTCCGCACGATTTTACTTTTCCGCACGATTTTTTTTACTTTTCGGCACGATTTTTTACTTTTCCGCACGATTTTTACTTTTCCGCACGATTTTTACTTTTCCGCACGATTTTTACTTATATGGACGATTTATATACACTTTAGGGCAAAATATTTTAATCCAAGATAATTTTTTTTTTTATAGGTAGGTACTATTTTTTACTTCAAATAAAACTAATATCTGTAGGTATTATTTTTCATTCAGAAAACCTGAAGTTGTACTTTTGCGCACCATTTTACTGTTTTGTACGCTTTTACTTTTCCGCACGATTTTACTTTTCCGCACGATTTTTTTACTTTTCCGCACGATTTTTACTTTTACGCTTAATTCAAGATGTAGGTACTATTTTTCACTTCAAAGCAAATCAATGTCTTTAGGCCTTATTTTTCATTCAGAAAACCTGAAGTTGTAATTTTCCAGACGATTTTACTGCTTTCTACGATGTTACTTTTCCGCAGGATTTTACTTTTCCGCACGATTTCACTTTTCCACACGATTTTTTCATTTTCCTTGGAATCAAATCAATATCTATAGGTC